GGGGTGCCTGGGGACCCTCCACACACGCTCCACGCAGGTGGGGAGCCCCCTGCACACAGCTCTGCTCTCCCTGCACATCCCTCTCCCCCTTGCACGACCCCCTCGCCCCCCTCCCCCCTCCCGCTCCCGCCCCATAATCGGCTCCAGCTGCACAAACATTCCCGCACCCGGAGCCGCCGCCGCCTCCGGAGCCGCCCCCGCGCCCGCCCGGACCCTCCCCCGAGCCCCCTCTGGGCCCCCTGGCCAGCCCCTCCCCCGGAGCCCCCTGGGCCCCCCGGCCGGACCCTGCCCCGGCCAGGGCAGCTGCGGAACCGCGGGGCCGAGGGGCGGCCCCGGGCTGAGCCCTGCGGGACAGGGCGGGGAGGGGTCCTGGGGGATGGGGGAGACTGTGTCCATCCATCCATGTCCATCCATCCATGTCCATCCATCCATCCATCCTGTCTGTGTCCATCCATCCGTGTCCATCCATCCATCCATCCTGTCCGTGTCCATCCATCCCATCTGTGTCCACCCATCCTGAGCCTACTCATTCCATCTGTGTCCATCCAGTCCATGTCCATCCACCTCACATCCACCCGTTCCACACATGTGCATCCAATTCATGTCCATCCATCCAATATCCATCCATCCATCCATCCATCCCATGTCCATCCATCACATCTGTGTCCATCCATCCTTCCATCCATGCCCATCCATCCCTTGTCCATTCACCCAACACTCTCTGGACAGGCCCCGGATGTTGGTGGGGTCCCACTCTCACCCATCCCAGCTTCTCCAGGAGGTGCACCAGAATGGAGATGGGAGCCCGTGCCCACCCACCCCCCCTGTGTCCATCCACCCCAGCTTCTCCAGGAGTTCCCCAGGATGGAGATCGGGTCAATCCAGCTCTGTCCTGCTGGAGGGGTGCTGGGATGGAGTCAGGACCCCACATCCCTGTGTCCAGGGGAGGGGAGGGCACTGTGGATGGCACAGCTCATCACACCCACTGTCCCCAAGCTCTCCAGGACAATGCTGGGATGTGGAGGCAGCCCCACATTCCCCACTCCCCCACATTCCCCACTCCCCCAGTCTCAGGTGTGTCCACGTACAGAGCCAGGATCCCACACGGTTCGGGGACAGTGACGGGGATGGATCCACCCCCACCGCGCACACCTGGCCGGGATGGGGACAGGATGGGGGCTCCTGCCCTGGCAGACCCTCCCCGCCCTGGGGCCCCCCGAGGTGCCGGCCCCGTCCCGCGGTCCCTCCCGGCGGCTCCGTCTCCTTTAAGAGCGGCCGGAGCCGAATTCAGCCGCCTGTCCCCGCTGGCGCCCGGCCAGGGCTCGGCCTCGGCTGCGGCCAGATCCCGCTCCAGCGCCCGCCCGGCGGGGACGGGCGGCCCGGGGGGACAGCCGGGGACAGCCGGGGCCCCGCTGCCACCGCTGGGTGCTGGGCCCTTGGGTCACTGCTGGGGGTGAAGGCACACGGAGCCAGAAGGTGGGGACAGCCGGAGATGTCCCCACAAAGTCTCAGGACCTGTCATACCAAGTGATCATGGAGACACGGGAAGTGTAGCAAAGAGATGTCCCTTGTCACACCCCTGTCACCTCCCTGTGCCACCTCCGTGTCACTGCTGGAGACCGGGACAAGGGGGGCGGTGGCAGGGGAGGGGACAGAGAGCCCATGGATAAGGGGACAGGACAGGACCAGCAGCAGGGGACAGCAGCGACCACGGCCTGGGTCCCAGGAGCGCTGGGACAGCCAGTGCTGGGGACACCGCATGACCCAGGGTCCTTCTCCCAGCTCCTCCCTCCTCCTCTCCCTTGCCTGCAGTGCTGTCACCGCCGGGGCTGTCCCTGTGCTGGGACAGTCCGGTGCTGTCACCCACGGCTGTGCTGAGCCCTGTCCCCATGCCCAGGAGCACGAGCCCAGCGGGCACTGGTGGCACTGGTGGCACTGGTGGCACTGCTGTGATGAGTTGCGGGTGCTCGGGGGCCGGCCCGGGTTTGGCGTTAATTGATTAATTGACTCCCGCGGCGGTGGCAGCTGTGAAAACAGAGCGGGGCTCATTAGGGGACATCAAAGGAGCCCCGGGCGGCCGGGAGGGGACACGGCCCGACCCGCTGGCGTTTGCTCCCTCTTCACTCGGCTTAAAAGGAGAAGAGGAGGATGGGAGTCACCGGCCTGGGGACAGCCCTGCTCAGCGAGAAGGTCCCTGTCCCCTGTCCCTGGGATTAGTGGCACCTGGGGGCACCCATTCTTTGGGTGACATCCCCAAGGTTACCTGGACATGGGATGACCCATCCCTGGGGTTAGCTGGGTTTGGGGTTATCTCTCCTCAGAGATCAATCAGCTGCTCCTGGGGTGCCCCATCCTTAGGGTCACCCATCTCCAGGGTGACCTGTACCCAGGGTGAGTTGTCCCTCGGGTGACCCATTCCCAGAAAGATCCATCTCTGGGGTGACCTGTCCCTGGTGGTTCCCAGGGTGTCCCATCCCTGGGGTGACAGAGCAGGGGACAGAGGGGACATGTGCTGACTGCTTCTTGCAGACAACCTCCAGCTCCTCCTGCTCAGGCTGCAAACAGCCCTGAGAGCCAAAAACCTCCAACACCCCCCCAAAAAATTGCTTGGAAAGGGCACAGAGCTGGCCCAGTTCCTCCATCACAGGAGCCTGTGGAGCCAGGGTCAGGGACCCCCAGAACCCCCAGATCCCTCAGCACCCCCGGAGCACAGGAGCAGCCCCAGCAATCCCAGATCCCAGCTCTGTTTTCCAAAGCCAGGACATGAAGCCTTTAAAAAAAATCTCCTCTCGGAGCTCCTGCATTCCTGGGTGGAGAGTTTACATTCCCCCGTCCCCCGTGATCTGCGCCTCTGGAAAACAAAGCAGCCCTGGGGGGGAGCAGCTTTTTGGGGAGCAGGACCCTCCAGCCAGAGCCAGGACCCCAAGGGCAGCACCCCAAAACTGAACCACCCAGAGCCAAGGCTGGAAACAGCCCGGGACCCCCTTGGCAAGGGGGTGGCACCCTTGGGGTGGGCATTGAGGGGTGCAGGGGGGGTCCCCTGATGCCTTGGCCGAGGCTCAGCCTGCCCATGCCACCACCAGAACAGAGTGCAGGAATCTCCCTGCCTGAATTCCCACTTCCAGAGGCTCCCAGTGCAGGGGCTGGGGTAACAGGGGATGCTGGGGTGTCCTGGGGGGTGCCAAAGGGGGGCTGGGGGGGGGGGGTCCCGACCAGCCCAGCCCGACCCCCAAACTGTTTCTCCAAACAGCAGAGGAGGGGGAAAAGAAGCCCTGGATAAGTTTCTCCCCCTCTTCTCTCCCCCCTTCCAAGTCATCGCTGGAAAATTAAACCGGATCCAAAGAGTTTTTCCTTTCCAAAATGTGCTGGAGAGGCGCTGCCTTAACCCCTTCAGCTCCCGCCTCGCCCTCACCGCGGGACTGGGATTTTTAAGGGGGTTTGGGGATTTTCCCGGGCTTTGCTGGGGGAAGGGGAACGGTGCAATGCCCCAGCAATCCCTCTTTGTGCTCCAGGGATCCCCAAATCTCCTGGAACGAGGGAGACCAGAAGGGCTGAGGCTCCTCGAGGCTGATTTTGGGGCACCCCTGGGGCCAGCGCTTTCATGGCCAGGTCTCCCTCTCCATTTTGGGAAGAGTATTTTTTTTCATTCCAATTAAACCCAGCTGATTAAATCCATCCTTTCAGCCCCCCCTCCCTGCCCTGAGTTGTCCCCCTCTAGCTGAAACTCCCCTACATCCCCCTCCAGCATCCCCCAAACCCCAACAGAGCGAACCCGAGTCAGGACCCAGGGCCCACCCCAGCCAAACCCCTAATCCCAGAGAAAATGTGAGCTATTTCCTCCCGGGGGGGGACACAGGAGAGGCCCCCCCTCCCTCTGCACACTGAAAATTCCTCATTTTTTGGGTTAAAAATCTCTTTTTTCCCCCTTTCAAAGTGCTTTGTTCCAGCTGGAGGGAGGCACTGGCTCATCCCCACGGGGCGGTGGAAGTGGGGGGGCCCGGCAGAATCCATGGGAACCCCCACAATTTAATTATTGGGGCTTTTTTTGGGGGGAAAAAAAAGCCCTCGGGAATAATCTGGCATTTTTTGGACTCGTTTGTATTTGTGAAGGATTGTTCAAAAAAGGGATTTGGGAGGAAAAGTCATCAGCCAAGTAGGGGGGCCCAGGGAGAGCCCCCGGGGGCGGCAGCCCCAGCTCAGGGTCTCGTGGGAGCAAAGGGGTGGGGAAGAAAAAATCCACTTTCTTGGGGAGTTTTGAAAGGAGAGTGAGAAAAATGGGCTTGGTTTGGGGGTTTTTTGCCTTTTTTCACCCTTTTTTCCAGGGGCCAGTGGAGCAGGGCTGGAGGCAGCCGGGACAGAGCGGGAAGCAGGGAGCAGGGAGCCGAGGGTCCTCTACCAAGCTTGGCAGTGTTTTTCCCCTTTTTCTCCTCTTTTTTCTCCATTTTCCCACCTCTTTCTCTATTTTCTGATCCTTTTTCTCTCCTTGTGTTTTTAATCCTTTTCTCTTTTCCCCTCTTTTTTTATCTTTTTCTCTTTTCTCTCCTTCTCCTGTTTTTTCTCCCTTTCTTTTTCTCCTTTTTCTTCCCTTTTCTCCTGTTTTCTGCTCTTTTCTGTTTTTCTCCCTTTTCTCCTGTTTTCCTCCCCTCTCTCCCACCTTTTTCCTCCCTTTCCTCTCATTTTCCCCTTTTTCCTCACTTTTCTCATTTTTTCACCCCTTGCTGCTCATTTTTCCCTCGTCTCCTCCTTTTTTCCTTCCTTTCCTTTTTCATTTCCTTTCCCCTTTTTTTCCTCCCTTTTCCACTGTTTTTTTCCCTTTTCATCCTTTTTCCTCCCCTCTTCTCTTTCCTTTTTCTCCTCTTTCTCCCTCCCTCTCCTCCTATTTCCTCCCTCTCTTTTTCCACATTTTTAAATACAAATATATACTTAAATTTACAAATGCTATTTACAGGTTTAATTACAAAAAAAAAAAAAATTCAAAGAGAAAGAGAGACACCCCTTAGACGTTAATAAATCTAAAAATAAAAAATATATAATAACTCCTCCCCCCCACCCCCAAAAAAAAATATTTCAGGCCAAAGGGCGGCGGGGCCAGGGGGGTCACACCGTGGTCTCGCCCTGCTTGCTGTTGGTGAGCCGAGTGTAGAACTTCCTCCAGGAGTGCAGGGTTTTGCCAGACCATATCCAGAACCCGGAGGTGATGCCCACGATCAGAGTCATGAGATACTTGATCATGTAGACGGTGAAGTCGGGGGTCATGCGGGGGGTGAAGTGCAGCGGGCAGGGGATGGCCAAGCTCTTGCAGTTCTGGCTGATCCAGCTGCGCTCCCAGTGCTCGCGGAAGGCCTGCTCGTAGAAGTAGCAGGCGATGACGATGGTGGCCGGGACGGTGTAGAGCACGCTGAAGACCCCGATGCGAACCATGAGCCGCTCCAGCTTCTCGGTCTTGGTGCCGCCGTGCTTCATGATGGTGCGGATGCGGAAGAGGGAGACGAAGCCGGCCAGGAGGAAGGAGGTGCCGATGAAGAGGTAGACGAAGAGCGGGGCCAGCACGAAGCCTCGCAGAGGGTCGATGTTGTTGAGGCCCACGAAGCAGACGCCGCTCAGCAGGTCCCCGTCGATCTGCCCCATGGCCAGGATGGTGATGGTCTTGACCGCCGGCACTGCCCAGGCGGCCAAGTGAAAGTACTGGGAGTTGGCCTCGATGGCCTCGTGGCCCCACTTCATGCCAGCGGCCAGGAACCAGGTGAGGGAGAGGATGACCCACCAGATGGAGCTGGCCATGCTGAAGAAGTAGAGCATCATGAAGAGGATGGTGCAGCCCTCCTTCTTGGTGCCCTGCACCACGGTGCGGTAGCCGTCCTCCTGGAAGCGCTCGTTGCAGACCACCCTTTCCTCCAGCACGAAGCCGGCGATGTAGGCCACCGACACCATGGTGTAGCAGCCCGAGAGGAAGATGATGGGTCGCTCGGGGTAGCGGAAGCGCTGCATGTCCACCAGGTAGGTGGTGACGGTGAAGAAGGTGGAGGCGCAGCACAGGACGGACCAGATGAGGATCCAGATGCGGGCGAAGCGGATCTCATCCTCGTTGAAGAACATGTGGCCGTCGGGCCGGGTGGGCTCGCAGGGCGCCGCGCAGTCCTTCTCCCCCAGGAACTTGTAGTTGAGGTAGCTGGGCACCTTCAGCGCCCGCGGGCAGTGGAAGGGGTGGTCCAGGGTGGCGTAGCGAGGGGCGCCGGGGGTGCCCTGGCCGGCCAGCGGCGTGGCGCTCGTCAGCAGGGCCGGGGAGCCACCGTCCTCCGAGTGGTTCTGCCCCACACAGATCTGCTCGGCGCCGTGCCGGGGGAAGTTCTCACATCGCAACCGCTCTGGCCACTGGAAGCCGAATTTGTTCATGAGGGCCTCGCAGCCCTGGCGCGCCCGCTCGCAGATGGAGCGGCACGGAGGGATGGCCTGCTCCAGCACCGTGCACACCGGCGCGTACATGGAGCACAGGAAGAACTTCAGCTCCAGCGAGCACTGCACCTTCACCAGCGGGTAGAACTGATGGACCTCCAGCCCTGCGTCCTCCTGGTTGGTGTGACCCAGCAGGTTGGGCATGATGGTCTGGTTGTAGGCGATGTCGGTGCAGAGCGGGATGGAGATGGGCTGGCAGAAGCCGTGGTCGGGGATGGAGATGCCCTTCTCGCCGTGCAGCTGGGCCCGGCTCGGCGCCGGCACACTCAGCCCCGCCAGCAGCCAGGCCAGGGCGGGCAGCACGCCGGGGGGGCCCATGGTGCCCCGAGCCGTGCGCCCCGATTTACCGTGCCCGGTGCCCCGCCGGACGGCCAATCCTCCCGTCCGGGGCTGCCGTGCCCGTTGCTGCCTGGACGACTCCCGGTGACTGGATACGCTCTGGTCCCGCCTGGATGACTCCGGCTGGCCTGATCTGCCGTGCCCGATGCTGACTCGACGGCTCCCGAGGATCAGCTCCTCCGTGGCCGGTGCTGGCTGGACGATCCCCGGTGACGGGATACTCTCAGCTCCCGCCTGGTCGGCTCCCGGCGCCCGAATCCCCCGCACCCGGCGTTGCCCGGACGGCTCCCGCTGCCCGCTGTCCGCCTACCCCGTGCCCGGCGGGACGGCTCCCGGTGTTTCGATCTCTTGTGCGTGGCGGGACGGCTCCCGGTGCTCGGACGTGGCGCTCCCGGTGCTCCGCGGCGCTGCTCCCGCTGCCCGAACTTGGCGCTCCTGCTGCTCCCGGAGCCGCGGGCGGGCGGTGGTGCCGGGAGGGTGGCGGGAGGGGGGTCCCGGGGGGTGCCGGGGGGGTGCCGGGGGGGTGCCGGGGTCCCGGGGCGCGGGGAACGGAGCGGCCGCACCGGACGCTCCCGCCGCCTTTGTGCGGGGCAGCGCCGCGTCCCCGCCGGGCGGGGCCAGCGCCCCCCGCCCCGCCCGCTCCGCCAATCACATTCAAACGGCGCGGCCGCCACGCCCACTCCCACCCGGACCACGCCCACCAGGCCCCGCCCCCGCCCCGGGGGTCACCGCCCCCCCCCCCCCAAGTTTTTCCGAGCGGTGCGAACCCCCCCGAACTCCCCCGCGGGCGGGGTCGGGCCGGGGCCGCGGGGAGCGGCCCTGCCGTGTGCCCCGTGTGCCCGAACGGCATTGTGGCTTCTGCCGCCCGTGTCCCGTGTGCCCCGTGTGCCCGAACGGCATTGTGGCTTCTGCCGCTCGTGTCCCGTGTGCTCCGTGTCCCCTGTGCCCCGTGTGCCCGAACGGCATTGTGGCTTCTGCCGCCCGTGTCCCCTGTGCCCCCAGTGCCCCCAGTGTCCCCTGTGCCCCGTGTGCCCGCACTGCATTGTGGCCTCTGCCACCCGTGTCCCCTGTGCCCCCTGTGCCCCGTGTGCCCCGTGTGCCCCCATGTCCCCTGTGCTCCGTGTTTCCTGTGCCCCTCGTGTCCCATGTCCCCTGTGCCCCCGTGTCCCATGTTTCCTGTGCCCTGTGCCTCCAGTGTCCCCTTGGTCCCACTCTGTGTGCCCTGCTGTCCTGTGCCCCACCCCGTGTCCCCTTGTCCCTGTTCTGTGTGCCCTGCTGTCCCTTGTCCCCCCGTGTCCCCTACTTCTCTGCCGTGTCTCCTGGCAACCACCGTGGTCACTGTACCTCTGTCCTGTGCCCCTCCCGTGTCCCCTGCTCCTCCCATGTACCCTGTGCCCCCCAAGTGCTCTGCACCCCCCCATGTCCCCTGTGTCCCCTGCATCCCCCACTGGGTGCCCTAGCCCTGCTGTGGCCTCTGCACTCCCTCCATGTCCTCTGCCCCCTCTGTGTCTCCTGTGCCCCCCTTGTGTCCTCTGCACTGCTCATGTCCCCTAACCCCACCTTGAACCCCCACTTGTGGGGCTGCTCCCCCCATCCCAAGACCCACATCCCCTCTAAGGTGCTGCAAGGGGTCCCCCCCTGTCCCCAGGTCCCACTTTAGGGTGCAGTGGAGCAGGATTAGCTCCCACGCCCCACTGGAGACCTCCAGGACAGGGTGTATTGGCCCCAACATCCCTTGTCCCCAGGTGTCAGCCAGGCAGTGCCACCACCCCATGGGCTGCCCATGGCCACCCTGGGGTGCTGCACCCCAAAAAGGCCACTGCACAGCCAGGGGTATCCCCAAAACAGGGCAGTGGGAGAGGCCTTGGGGACTGGGACACACTGTGGGGAACTGGGACACGTTAGGACTGGGACACACTGGGAGGGGGAGTCTTGGACACAGCAGGGATATGCCTGGAGGGAACCTGGACACACTGGGGGGACCCAGGACATGCTGGGGGGATCTGGGACACATGAGGGGGGACTGGGACACACTGTGGGGGGACACTGGGACACAACAGGGGGATCTAGGGTGTGCTGGGGCCATCCAAGACATAGTGAGGGTGTTGGGACACACGGAGGTCAAGCACAGGGGGGGTCATGGGACACAGTGGGGAGTCAAACACGCACTGGGGGGCACCGGGACACACTGGGTAGACTCAGACACACTGGGAGAGACTGGGACGCACTGGAGTTCCCTTTGGAGGGAACAAAACTGTAAGTGATCACCCCAAATTTCGGCACTAGAATGGGGGGCTGCCTTTCCCAAGGCAAGGGGCTGCCTTTCCCCCCGTTTCCCTTGGGGGCTGTGGTGGGGAGACCCTGCCCCCGTCCGCTCCGTTTTGGGGGGCTGGGGGGCTCTTGGCAGCCCCCTTCCCTCCCTCCCTGCGCGTCCTCCCTCCCTTTCTCTCCCTTTCCTGTAACTTAAGCTTTTGTTGTGAGCAGGAGACCCGGGCTGTCGTGAAAAGAGGGGGCCCCACCGCCTTTCACAGCGTAATTGAAACCATTGCGGCTCCTGGCCGAGGGGGAAGGGCAGGGGGGGCTCCAAAATCAAAGCCTGGGGGGGAAAGCCGGGACACACGATGCTGCAGGGCCCCCCTCTCCGCCAGCCTCCCCGGGCCGGACGTGCCGGGTGTCCCGGCGGGGCTGCCGGGGGCTCTCCCCGCTCCGGGGATGGCGGAGGCTCCGGGGCTGCCGTGGGGCGAGGCGGTGAGATGGGAGCCAGGGCCGGCTGTTCCCGATGGGGCACCCAGGGGTGCTGTGCTGCCTTTGGGCCCCGGGGGTCGCTGGGTGTCCGGTGGTCCCGGGCGGGAGGCGGCGGACAGAGGCTGGAGCCCGGCCAGCGCTGCCTCCGGCCCGTTCCCGTTCCCGTTCCCGCTCCCGCTCCCGTTCCCGTTCCCGCTCCGGCCCTGTGGCGGCACAGTCTGGTTGGATGTCCCCATCATGTCCCGCAGGCCCCAGCGACAGGGAAGGAGCGGTACAAGGGTGTCTGCACAGCCACGTGGATCTTGGCTTCCTAAACGCTTCAGATTTTGGATTCTTTCTGGAGATAGAGGGGTTTCACTTTCAGAAGGGGTTACAGAGGCTGTCCCCATTCTCCCTGTCCTCCTGGGTGCTGGTGGCTCGGGACAAGGGTCTCCAGAGCCTCCAGGGACACACTGGGACATGGTTCCACCCAGAGTGGGGGCCGAGCCCTCCTGGGGAGGGCAAAACCCAGAGCAGATCCACCAGTCAGCCCTGAGAGAAACCCCTGGGTGGGCTGGCAGTGTCAGGGGATACCCCAGGGAAGCAGCCAGTGGGGTCCTGCCCACTCAGGGATGTCCCCTCCCAGGAACATTCAGGGTGGCCAGGGAATCCTGTTGATATCACTTGTCCCTGTCACCAGGCTCCCAGCCCCATCCCCAGGCCCCTGCATGAGGGGTGGTAGAGGGTGCTGCCCCAGGGAGGTGGAGGGAACACTGTGAAGACAAGGACCAGCCCTTGCACCCAGTGGGAGAGGGTGGGTGCTGCCCAGACCGGGCTTTACTGGGAGTATGAGGCCAAACCCAGCTCTTCCCCGCAGGTCCCCTTCGTGTCCTCACAGAGCTGCTCAGGGTGGGGGGCACCCAGGAGCCCCAATCCTCCCACTGCTCCACTCTCACTCGTCCCAGTACAGCACTGGGGGATGCTGGTGGGCACCCAGTGTTGGCAGTCCCTTGCTCCCAACAGCCAAGGGTCCCCAGGGGCAGGCCCATGGGTACCACCTCCTCCAAAGGTCTGGTGGCTCCTGTGTCCCTCATAGAGCAGGACATGGTGCCCATGCAGCCCCCCTTCCTGGGATTCCCCCAGCACCATGAGGTGCCAGGATGCCTGTGGGGTCCTCCCTGCACCCATCAAAGCCAGGGATGGGGGACACAGCTGGGAACACCCATCTCACCCCCAGCAGCACCCTAGTGGTGGCCTCTTTCTGAGCCTCCTCCCTGGGGACAGGTGCCCTGGGGGTGACACTGGGGGTGGCACCACATCTGGACAGGCCCTGCGCGTGGCCCCACGCAGAGCTGGTGGCCAGCACCACTCTGAAGGGCAGTACTTCCAGGGGGCACTGGCAAGTGTCCCTGAGGGATGGGCACAGAGGACGGCAAAGCACAAGTGGGGAATGGAGGGGCTGTGGCAGGCGATGCCAGGCAGGATGGGGACCTCGGGGGTCCCCCAGGAGCACAGAGGAAGGGAAGGGCCCCCTGGCCCTGCACTCGGCTTTGTTTCACACTTAAGAGCCTCTAATTAAAACCAGGCACAAAGGCCCTGGCTGGCGGCAGGCGCGAGGTGCCAGCAGAGGACGGGGGTCTGTCACCAAGGGAACAGGAGTGACACGGGGTCTTGGGCATGGGCCCTGCATGCCCAGACACACAGACACGTGTGCAGACACACACACGTGTGCTCCCTACTCTTTGGGCCAGGGAGAGGAGTGCTCAGGCCTGGTTTGTACTGGTCTGAACTGGTCTGATGGTCTGCAGTGGCTCCATGTGTGGGAGGGGTCTGTGGGCAGCCCTGCCCAGGGGGGCTGGGGGCAGAGATGAGCCCTGGGCTGTGTGTGGGGTGAGCCAAGCCCTGGGGGCAGCCTGGTTGGCAGCAAGCACAGCTTTAGCCAAGGACCACAGAGGGTCCCCAGCTGGGATCGGGGGGCTGGTGGGTGACCCCGAGACTGAGCTGGGGAATGAGCCCCCCCACAATATGGGTCTGCCTGCCTGGATCCCTCGGGGTGGTGAGACCCCAAAGCTGTGCTGTCCCCCAAAACCAACCCTGGTGCTGGTGGGGCACAAAGCCCGCCGGGGCGGGCATGGGGAAAGTGGCTTAAGCACACCTTGACCTTGCTGGCGGGGGAGGATCCCCTCAGCTTGTCGGACACATCTCCTGCCAGCGCCGGCATTGAGAGCGCGCGAGCCCGCGCGCGGAGGAGCCGGCAT